CTCTCTCTCCCTCTCTCCCTCTCTCTCTCTCTCTCTCTCTCTCTCCCTCCCTCTCTCTCTCTCTCTCTCTCTCTCTCTCTCTCTAACTCTCTCTCTCTCTCTCTCTCTCTCTCTCTCTCTCTCTCTCTCTCTCTCTCTCTCTCTCTCTCTCTCTCTCTCGTCTTTGACTTTGTTTAGTTTGCTGTACAAGTGCATGTACTACATGTAACACCGTTGACTGCTGTGTGAAATCTCTTCAAGACTTGCTCTCTGTTCTCTTCGTATTTTTATTGTAGGCGTGTATACCTTTCGTATCAGGACAGTGTCCATTTTTTCCGGCCAAAGCAGGTGCGTACTCAAGTGTATTATGAGCTGCTTATCGCCTATAAGGACTATGTAGCAAAGCGAGGCTTTGTCGCTGTTAACCTTTGGGCATGCCCTCCTGGGAAAACCAAGACTATATTTTCAACTGTCATCCACCAGGGCAAAGGATACTCACACAACAGCTTCTAATACCGTGGTACAAGACAATTCTGGACAGTGCAGTTGCTCGAAAAGTTGTTATCAAGTTTCGCGTAAGTGCTCTAAATCAACTCATTTTCGCTGGCAATTTTATTTCGCTGATTCCGCCGCTTGGTGCCAATTGGCCAAAGTTAACCGCAGGCCAAAATTTGTCATCGAGGCAAATGATGCATAATTCAGCCATGGCTGCACGTGAGGGCAACAACTATTAAACGATCTTTTCTAAATCGGCCAAAGTTTCTCACCGGCCAAAATTTGTTGATTTCCAGAGTAGCAAGAGTAGTTACCTGCCACCGATACCTCATCCAAAGGGTATCAAACAACATGGGAGTACATACAGATTATTCCAGTGTAACGAAAGGGTATCCAACGCACACATGTATAAATGTACACTACATAGTACCTTCCGTTACAATTTGAAACTTCATGACAATTTGAATCAACTTCATGACATCTTTCTAATGCTTCTGATCTGTGAATCTATGTGAATGAGCATGCAGACATTTGTATGGATTAGTAGTAATTTCGCACGGTACATTTCAAACAAGGATATTGTACTATACTGTTCAAACTAGCTACACACCGTACTGCTCTAGCTTATAGGTTGTACTCCGATAAATCGACTGTTAGCGTAGCAGTTAACCGTTAAGGTGAAAACCGTAGCCGTTTGATCCCTATTGTTATACTGGCAATCTAATGTTGTTTATCCTTTCTCACTTTTTTGATCTTTCAGGATATTCACCAGTCTACACTTCAAGATCAAGTCAGCGTACCGACCGGTATGCCATACTTTGAGGGTGATTCCTGGCCTAAAGTGTGTGAGAAGATCGCCCAGGAGGAAAAAGCGGAGAAGATCGCAGCTGAGGCCGAGGTATGCATTATCTTCTGTGTAGAGCAGGACTGATGGTTTACATCTCTCTCTCGAATTCAACTCCATCTCAAACATTTTACCACTGGTTGGATGGCATTTGGGTACCAGCCGCTGTTCGTCTTATGGTTGTTGGCAATTTGTCTTTTTTCAATGCCGCTGAGATGATGGAGTGCATGGGATGAAGGTGACAAATTCGGCGATAGTTATAAGAAAGTTCGTTGCTCTCAATGTTCGAACTTGCACCTTTCCCACTTTTCCATTCAGCGGACTCATTATGTTTTTACAGAAAAGTGGGAAAGATGCAAGCTCGAACATTGAGAGCAACGAACTTTCATATAATTATCGCCGAATTTGTTACTAAAAAATCCGTTTCTTAAGTTATGCAAAACAACAATGTGATGACAGCCATTCCTCAACTTGCACTGCTCTGCACTCCAACTTCTTTGTATTATTACTCAACGTTCTTTCATCTTGATCAAATCTTAAATTAGATTAGGAGGAGGCTGCCTGAGGGTCAAAACTTACATTAAGGATACAGTAGTGATTCTGAAATACTTGCCATTGAAATATTATCTCATCAATAACATAGCAAGGGGCTCTACGCTGCTCTGGAACTGGGAAGATACCTTAGGTGTCCTCGGTGTGGGAATAAGACAAACCATACGCTAGCTTAAGGCTTGGCGTCTGCCAATCCCCCGCCAAGTAGTGAGAGCTTTATTTCATTCCTGAAGCCGTAGACCCGTCACTTGTCAACGACTAGTAGTAGTATTTATTTTTCTTACCATCGGATGCCTCAACAGGGATATACACAACTCTTAAGAGGGCTGATAACGGGATAAGTGAAAAGGAAAAGAAAAGAAAACTAGACAATATTTGATTGAGAATGCAGTGATCCATGTGGATGATTTTTTTTATTGGCTAGGTGTGTGAGGGGTATGATGACCGTGGTATGTTGTTGTGTGCCTGTATTGCTATGATGACCGTGGTCTGTTGTTGTCTGCCTGCATTGCTATGATGTCAAGCAGAAGAATGGCAAGAAGGGATGCTCCCAGCCGCAGTACGGCCGAAAGAAGAAGAGCAAGCCAGCACCGGCACGGAAGAGAAAAGATTTCGTTGCGCGTGTCCTGGCCCGGCTTGAGAAGGATAAAAGTGTAGGTCCATGGTTTCATTCTTTCTTTGCATTGCGTATACCTTTGTCTCGTGGAGTGCGACGACTGGTTTGATTGCAAATGCATGTTTTAGATTTGTTTCTAACTTGATTGTTTCTTCGGAGTTGAATATCATGAGCAAGAAATCAGTTTTAGTGCAGCCCTTCACAATCAAAATCAAGATGAACAGTTATGATATTCTTCTCAAAAGCCTTATTTAGCCATTTTACCCACAAAATGGCCCACATGGGAAATTTCGTAATCAATAATTTGGTCGAAATTCGCAATTGTGGGAGAATCATGCACCGTTGGGAAGGGAAAGACGTGCATGAGACATGCTTTAGTATAGGGCTGAAATCTCGACTATTCAAATATTCGTTAATTTAGCTTTGCAGAATGAACATTTGTGAGGTAACGAATGTTAGAACTGAAATTTTTTTCCCAATATTCTCGACACAAATGTTTTATTACAATCAGCGTGCAACCTTACGGAGCCATCTGACAGCGTTTCTGGCGCGATGTTGCTCTCAACGGAGAGCGAAGCAAGGTCGCTGAAGGTCGCTGAAGGTTTTTATGTCAATGGCGTTGGTTTCCTCCCTGAAGCATACTTTTTTGCCTGTATCATGTGGCGGGGTATTCATGCCCTTGTCAGAACTCTGACGATTTGCATGAATTATCAATCAAGAACATTTGTTCGTTGGTTCTTTCGTTAGAGTCAAGAACGTTCGATTGCTGAGAAATTGTGTTCGTTTCAGTCCTACAGTTTAGGTTGTCGCAATACTCTCTCTATTTACAGTGCAAGCCTGGCATTGGGTGAGGAAAGTTTGCGACGTACACACTGTAAGCATATCAGAATATACAGCTTCATCTGTGGGACACAGGTGATTGCAAATTATGACACTCTCTCTGTCGTCCTTTGATTATGCGAGGTGGCTATCGAAAACGTATGCCCTTGTATCTGAATATTAAAATGAATTTCCGCACGTAACATTCGATGTTTAAAAGTGACTTATTTTTGTAGAGTATATTGGTGTGTCATAATGGTACTAAAGTTGGCTGCTCCCACGAGGAGCACACGCTTCTTGCCGAACTTGACACTTGACTGACTCACGATTGCCATCCGGAGCACACGAGGAGCACGTAGCACCTTCCGCTCGGCAAACCTGAAAGAAAGCACCACTGCCTGCTCAATACACAGTGTGTAAAGTTCGACAAGAAGTTTGTGCTCCTCGTTGGAGCAACCAACTTCATGACTAGTACCGCCAAAGTCGCAACAGTTCATAATGGTATTAGTTTGTAAAATTATTGCCTTCGGGTGTTACTCTTTTATTGAAACCATTTCTTGTTGAACCTTCTACTAGTATCTTAGTTTATGCCCCAGCTGTTACGCTGTCATCACACTACGGTACAAAGCGCTGTGTCTACATCCACATAAGGTTTTGGTCGGTTGTCATGATGATCCATGTATGAGGTGAAAGCGGGAGCAGAAGAAACGGGAAACGTAGACGTGGTAGGGAGTGGGCCACTTTTTTTGTAATAAAGGGTGTATCTCCCACAGTCTGTTTCCAGGCCACCTTGTACGTGCGAATCTTCAAATTTCTCCAAAACGTGACCGCGTGTACTGGTCAAGAACTGTGCCTGTTTGATGACACGACTACCCGTTTTGGATTTTTCACTGTGGACGCAGACGTAAGGGGAAGCCAGAGAACGAAGTGTGATGACGGCCTTACTAGCTCCTTGGGTGTTGCTGGTATTATCGCCTACGCTGATTCCTTGTATTCGTTGCTGCCAAAATTTCCTTACATTAGCTTTATTCTTGTTCCTTTTGGCCAGGCATTCTTCACCATCACGCTTATTTCTTCAGAAAAGGTTGCCAACCTTAAACCCATGCAGGAGGATGTTGCCGAGCAGCAAAGCAGCAATGTGATGGAGAGTCGGGATTCAATTCTTGCGTACTTTCGTAAGAATCATCTCGAGTTTACAACTTTGCGGCACGCGCAGTACGCTACACTGTGCATGCTCATCGAGCTGCAAAGCCAGTGCAATGTAATCGTCTACCGCTGCAATACCTGCATAGCGGAAATTATTGGAAGTCGTTTCCATTGCCCAGTGTGTGACGTAAGTTTGCATATTCATATTGGCCACTGTGTGTTTCCAGATTTTGTTTGTATTTTTTGTCTCAAGTTCTCTTAGTTCTTCTAGATTAATAGCTCCTTGAGTGTTGCTGGTATTATCGCCTACGCTGATTTCTTGTATTCGTTGCTGGCAAAATTTCCTTACAATACCTTTATTCTTGTTCCTTTTGGCCAGGCATTCTTCACCATCACGCTGATTTCTTCAGAAAAGGTTGCAGACTTTGAGCTCATGGAGGAGGATGTGGACGAGCTGCAAAGCGGCAATATGATGGAGTGTCGGGATTCATTTCTTGCCTACTGTCGTACGAACCATCTTGAGTTTTCAACTTTGCGGCACGCGCAGTACGCTACACTGTGCATGCTCATCGAGCTGCAAAGCCAGTGCAATGAAAATGTAATCGGCTACCGCTGCAATACATGCATGGCTGAAATTATTGGAAGTCGTTTCCATTGCCCAGAGTGTAAGGTGAGTTTGCATATTCCTATTGGCCACTGCGTGTTTCCAGATTTTTGTTCGTATTTCTTGTCTCAAGTTCTCTTAGTTCTTTTAGAGTAGACTATAAATGGAGGCAAACGATAGAATTTTTAATTCACATGACTGTAGCTTCGTCTGTTCAACATGCAACACTTGCAGAATGCAGGTTCTTTACTCGCCAGTAGCGTTCAGATCTGCCTCTATTCTGTATCTGATTGCTGTTTTGTACGTGTTTCTTGTCTTGTACGTGTTTGTGCCTCCTTATGCTAGGATTTTTACCTTGTGCTAAGTGCCATCAGGAACGCGGCCATGATCACCTGATGGAGCAACATGGTCGGCGGTGATTAAAGCTTTGAAGCCAGTGAAACAATAATATCAATGTTATATTGCTTTTGTGTCCAATTATTTATTTTGAGTTGTTTTCCGCAATCACTTAAGTTTGATGATATGCATGTTGACTTGCCCGTACAAGAGTCTTTTTATACATGATAATTATACACGATGATTTTTTATGATGATGATGATTTTGATAAAAACCATTCAAAGCCACTCAGTGATTTTGTAATACTTGAAGTATACATATAAGCGCAATCAGTAATACAAGCTGGATCGACATTTGTGTACACTTTATTCATGTAATGGAAAACTGTGGAGACAATGTGCAATAAAACGATGAAAATGTGAAGAAATGGTGCAGAGAAAATAAGGATTCGAACAAGTTTCCGTACAACACTCATCAGGAATGTTCGTTGTACTAAAGGACACTGAAACAAAAATTGAACTATTATAGAAAACCTAAGTTAGAGAAATAACACTAAGAACAACAGCAGTGAAATTTACAAGTGTGACTTTTAACAATGAAAGCGAGAGCAATAACGAATGCGTGTACTAACACTAAATTTGCAACTGAAAAATGAACAAAGAAGAGAAAGAAGGAAGGAAGGACAAAGTGATAACAAATAACAGCAGTACATTACACCTAGAACCTAGAAAATCCGCCAACGTCCTTCACAGCTGAGACTTTCAGCTCGTGCTTATCTTGGTTGCGCTCACCTTCCCCTCCTTATGTTATTTCTATAACTTAGAACCTTCCCAGTTGGAAGGCTGTTGGAGTGCGCATCCCAGATGTGCTAGAGCTGTTAGCCAGTTAGTTGTAGAACGTGAGTACCGTCGGTCAGTGGCGTGCAATGTTATCGCATGAGCTGATTGTTTAGTAACTGGTGGTGTTAGTGGACAGTATAGCGTAACTTGTAGTTCCTTGGTCTTTCTCTTTGTATAAATTAAACCTTGGCTCTCCATCTGAGTCCATTCCTGCACACCTGATGAGCCGTCTTTATCTATACGGCGAAACGATCTTCGTGTGAAACTGCTGCTTGTTACCGCTGCTTATTGTCCATCTAAATTGTCGTAGTCGAAGTACAGTGCTGTTTTACAGAGGCGTTCGGTTTTTGATGATTCTTGTTCGCATAGCTTCCCCTTTTATTGATCTTCGCATCTTTTGAGCCACACAATTTGTGTGGAATGTGGCTTTGCGTTCCTGAATCGTGGTTTGACCGTATTGTCCAATGGTCTTGCCAGTGTCGTCATCGACATGCATGAACATCCGCCAACGTCCTTCACAGCTGAGCCTTTCAGCTCTTACTTATCTTGGTTGCGCTCACCTTCCCCTCCTTATGTTATTTCTATAACTTAGAACCTTCCAAGTTGGCAGGCTGTTGGAGTGCCCTTCCAAGATGTGCAAGAGCTGTTAGCCAGTTAGTTGTAGAACGTCAGTACCGTCGGTCAGTGTCGTGCAATGTTATCGCATGAGCTGATTGTTTAGTAACTGGTGGTGTTAGTGGACAGTATAGCGTAACTTTTAGTTCCTTGGTCTTTCTCTTTGTAAAAATTAATATATACTTTCACACAAAATAAGCTCGATGATGATGATGATGATGATGCACTTTGTGTTCATTTTCCTCTCCTTTCATTCTAATTGAATTTTGATGTACCGGTATTGCGTTTTTGCTTGCCCGTACAAGAGGCTGTTCTATGATGAATGTTATGATGATTCCCACCTTCCAACCCAGCAAATATTCTGATTTTGATAAAAAACGATTCAAAGCCTCTCAATTATTTAGTAATACTTGATGTAAATATAAGAATAATAACAATAAAGAGTCGGCGTGGAGAAAGCAATTTTATTAGTGCAATTAGGAGTATAATCGATGCAGACATGGCCAGACAACAACGAGTTCATGGAATTTTTAAGGATTTTTATGTTATTCAAAATCGATTTTCGTGTCCCGCTCATCAGTGAATAGTATCGGAACTGAGGGTACTGTGTACAAAAATAGAAAATTTTATAACAGCATAATTAATTAAAAGTGTGAACAACAAAGGAAGTGCTACAGGATTACATAATAGGTGTCAAACACCTATTATGTAATGCTGTTATAAAATTTTCTATTTTTGTACACAGTACCCTCAGTTCCGATACTATTCACTGATGAGCGGGACACGAAAATCGATTTTGAATAACATAAAAATCCTTGAAAATTCCATGAACTCGTTGTTGTCTGGCCATGTCTGCATCGATTATACTCCTAATTGCACTAATAATAACAATAGTTACACTTTCACACCAAACTAGCTCGGTGCAGCACCAATCACTGCAGGGGAACCCGACCCTCCACCATCGCCAACTTACGAAGCATGTGAACTGGACGGTGACGGGCCAATCGAGCACCCCTGACACACAACACAGCGGAACGTAGCAGCGCGAAAGACACCCGACAACGATAATAACCCATCAACGACGAAGATTGAGATGTAAGGTGGCAAAGGCGCCTGAGGAAGGCCGTGGATGCCGGCGCAGCAGCCCCATTCACGGAAAACACCAGAGGTGCAAAGGCACCACGCTCAACATTGACTACTCTCTCCTGATATTGACGTCTCTTAGCGCCCTCATGTTGCCGGAAGAGCGCGTCCAGGCTTCTGGACGCATAGGAAGAAGCGTCAGGATTAATCACCATTACATCAAAAAATGCATCTTGCCCACGGGTCCCGAAGCCTCGAGCCCTCACATCAAGGCGAGCCTCGACAGAGGTGTTCGCCGACCTGGCCTGAAAAACCTCACCCTCGACAGGGGCGAGAGGTGGCTCCACAGACACACTGGAGCAAACCTCGGTCAAGGCAACAGCGAACAGATCTCGTAGTTCATTGTGTCGAATAGTTGAGAATCCACCAAAAACACAATTCAAAGCATGGCTCGTGGAAAAACCCGCCCCGCAAGCACATACAGCAGGGGTGTCACGCAGCGGCCAGTCATAGCGTAACGCAATGGTATCGCGAAAGTCTCCCTTGGATAATTAAAAACCATGCTCAGCAATGATGATGATGATTTTTTTTTTTTTGATCCCACCTTCCAACCCGGCAAATATTTTGATTTTGATAAAAACGATTCAAAGCCTTTCAATTATTTAGTAATACTTGATGTATATATAAGAATAATAACAATAGTTACACTTTCACACCAAACTAGCTCGGTGCAGCACCAATCACTGCAGGGGAACCCGACCCTCCACCATCGCCAACTCACGAAGCATGTGAACTGGACGGTGACGGGCCGATCGAGCACCCCTGACACACAACACAGCGGAACGTAGCAGCGCGAAAGACACCCGACAACGATAATAACCCATCAACGACGAATAGCTACCTCCCGAATATTGAGATGTAAGGAGGCAAAGGCGCCTGAGGAAGGCCGTGGATGCCGGCGCAGCAGCCCCATTCACGGAAAACACAAGAGGTGCAAAGGCACCACGCTCAACATTGACTACTCTCTCCTGATATTGCAGTCTCGTAGCGCCCTCATGTTGCCGGAAGAGCGCGTCCAGGCTTCGGGACGCGTAGGAAGAAGCGTCAGGATTAAACACCCTTACATCAAAAAATGATGATGATGATGATGATTTTTTGATCCCACCTTCCAACCCGGCAAATATTTTGATTTTGATAAAAACGATTCAAAGCCTCTCAATTATTTAGTAATACTTGATGTAAATATAAGAATAATAACAATAGTTACACTTTCACACCAAACTAGCTCGGTGCAGCACCAATCACTGCAGGGGAACCCGACCCTCCACCATCGCCAACTCACGAAGCATGTGAACTGGACGGTGACGGGCCGACCGAGCACCCCTGACACACAAAACAGCGGAACATAGCAGCGCGAAAGACACCCGACAACGATAATAACCCATCAACGACGAATAGCTACCTCCCGAAGATTGAGATGTATGATGATTATGATGATGATGATGATGATGATGATTTTGATGATCCAAAAGCCTCTTTTACGGGCAACAAAACACAATCCAAAACACAATCCAACATGGCGCTAACCGTCGCGAACCCCCTTAAGGTGGCAGACTACCCAAAAATTCGCTGAAAAATCGAATTTGTAAATTCATATGAGGTAAAATATCCCTCAATGGATGCTTGAAGGACGTCCAAGAGCCAGCGAGCATATTCTACGGCAGGTGGAAACCCTAGGCTGGTCACCGATGCCAGCAATGAGCCTGTCACACCGTCAAAGTAGCAGGGCTGAAGAAGAGATTAGCCAAAAAGGTGAAGGTCAGAAACTGCAATTTTTGACAAAAGGTGTCTCTCACTCAACTATCATGAAAGATGATTCAAATCCAAGTCCGAAGCTGCTGATGCTTATGGCATACAGGTAAATAATTACCTATTCAGTAGATCTAACGTTATGTATGAAACTCAGCTTGCTACCTCAGAAGTTATTATTATTATTTTGCTTGTTCGCGTTGGCATCAACCCGCATAAAGCAGGTATATAGCCTTCGCTTAAGCTGCCATAAAAAAGAAAGCTCATCCTAAGCGAGAGGGCTAGAGGGAAATATAACGATAACGAGATACAGAATACAAAGAAATCCAATGAGTTCAACGTGCAATTCAAAACAAGAAAGAAGTACTCAGAAGTACTGGTAGAGATTCACGATGGCAAAGTGCAAATGCAGGAAATGCGGCATGAATGTATGTTGGGTGTATACGGACTATATAGCAAAGCGAGGCTTTGTCGCTGTTAACCTTTGGGCATGCCCTCCTGGGAAAACCAAGACTATATTCAACTGTCGTCCACCTGGGCAAAGGATGTCAGACAAGAGCTTCTAATACAGTGGTACAAGACAATGCTGGACAGTGCAGTTGCTCGAAAAGTTGTTATCGAGTTTCGGGTAAGTGCTCTAAATCAACTCATTTTCGGTGATTTCGCCGCTTGGTGCCGATTGGCCAATGTTAACCGCAGGCCAAATTTTGTCATCGAGGCAAATGATGCATAATTCAGCCATGGCTGCACGTGAGGACAACAACTATTAAACGATCTTTTCTAAATCAGCCAAAGTTTCTCACCGGCCAAAATTTGTTGATTTCCAGAGTAGCAAGATTAGCTATGTGCCACCGATACCTCATCCAAAGGGTATCAAACAACATGGGAGTACATACAGATTATCCCAGTGTAGGGTCAGTGATCTACGTATTGAATTTATGACAGTACGAGGTGATTTGTAAAAAATTTACATGGCATACTTGTATTATTTTAGAAATCGAGTAAAATATCATTGTTGAGGG